TCCCTTTATTTAAACCCATGAGTTTGAAGGCTCCTGTGTTATAGTCAATTCTGAGTCAAAACCTCTAAATCCTGGCTGGGTGTCATATGGGGACACCGACTTTCTCTTGATGTGCTTTACTGGCTTCCTTCACATTTAGGTGACCAGGGGTTGGCATTTCGGAGGTGGGAGTGAGGGGGAAGGAAGGGCTGTAGGCAGTCTCTTATTCCACTTCCCAGGCACTGTGAAATTCTTCTGCAGCTTTCCATGGGTCTCTTCCAGCCTGTTTCTCCTGTGCTTTAAAAACCCATTACACAATACTGGGCAAACCCTTCGTTATTATGACAGCTGCTTCCTGGAAGCTGCTGTCTGTCCAGAGTTCATCTTGCAGTACATTGCCTCGTCACCTATGCCTCCTCAGTCTCACAGGCTAACTAACGTGTGTTGTTTTCAGTCTCTAGGGAACAGAAGAATACGAGTGGATATTGCTGATCAAGCTCAGGATAAAGGTGAATACCCAGTCTTCTTTTCAGATGAGATGAGTGGCTTCTCAGGTGCTGCAGGTGGACTGGGAGCTGTCATGGCATCTGCCTTTGCACTTGAGATCCCAAAGAACTAGAGGCATAACTGGACAAGCTTTGCCTTCCCCCAGGCTAACAAGGCAGTGGGTAGTTCAGAGGTGACAACTGTGGTAAATGCAGGCTGTCAAGGGATGTGACTGAGACCTCAGCAGCTCCTGGTTACCTATTCAGAAGTGTTCAGGCAGTCCCTCCATATCCTATACCCAGTCCCCTTGCTAGCTTAGTTCAGTCACCCTGTGGCTGTTGCCAGGGGCATACCCCTACAAAGGGGAGTGGTGAGTTTGGAAGGTGCTTTGTTTAGTCTCACTGCAATTCGGATTCATCGCTTCCCCCTTGCTGGTCGGCCCTTCACCTCCTCCACCAAGCTTAACAGTAGCTGCCTTCGTGTTGCAGACAGGGATGACCGCGGCTTTGGCAGAGATCGTGATCGCAACCGGGACACAGAGAGATTTGAGACTGACTGGAGGGCGCGTCCTACTACCGATAGCTTCGATGATTACCCTCCACGCCGGGGCGATGACAGCTTTGGAGGAGACAGTGAGTTGATCGAGAACCTTCCGTTTAGTACCCTGTTATCTAGTATCATTAAACAGCCAGTGAAATGCTTCCCGTGGGGTTGTTCTGGCTTCACATCATTCTGCAGGCCCACAAATTTCTTAACGACTTGCTGGATTTGGCTCTCTTGGCTGCAGTGATCCTTTATCTCCTGGGAAACTGGTGTTCTGTGGGCTTGATTCCAACTCTGACCAGGATCAAATTCAGTCCTGAGTAGAAGAGAGCTGGATCCTGTGTAGATGTGTGCGGGAGAGACATTGTACCTGCATTTTAAGCGCCAAACTGGGATTGGGATGAGCTCAGATTTTGACTCCCAAAATTTCCATAGACTTGTTAAGTGACCTTTGGCAAGTCAGTTCATCTCTGTCATCCCCCTGTAAATGGGTGACAATCTTTCCCTGCCTGGCAGAGCTGTTTTAATGCTCGTGTATGTGACTCGCGTGGAACCTTTGAAAAATGGAATCTGGCAAAGTGATCCACTGGGGCTGGAGAAGTATTTTGGGTCGAGTGTAAGGCCTGCCAGCAGACTTCCTCCGGTGGCGTGTGTCCTGCTTCCCCTCCCACAGGTGGAGGTGCAAGTCCACCAGGGCTTCCTACTTCACCCTGTAATCTCTCTCCCTGTCTGCAGGGTACCGGGACCGAGATCGCTACGATTCAGACCGGTATCGTGATGGCCCTCGCAGGGATATGGATCGCTTTGGGGGCAGGGATCGTTATGATGACCGTCGAGATTATGACAGAGGTACGGTGGCCTTGGGGGTGTTCCCGCGAACTGTTAGGGCTGTGAGGTTCATCTTAGTTTTTGTCCACTTGGTTTTCATCAGTTAGTGAAGGTGCCAGGTCGTCTTTCTTATCCGGTCTGTGTTGGATGAAAGATGTACTGTTCTTTGTCTTGCTCTGCAGTCTTCTTGCACACTGGACAATGGGTATTGGTGATCCGGATTTTCCTAGTACCTATAAGGTGGACCTTGCTTAGGTGCAGCATCTGTAGGCTTGCTATTACCCTTTCTTGCCTTCCTATAAAGGAGATGCTGTCTGATCTAGGGCTTCCCTCCTGCGGGCATCCCTACATATAACACAAGGTCACCAGTAACCCAGACTGCCTTTCCTCTTCTCTTGCAGGCTATGATTCCAGGGTAGGCAGTGGCCGGAGAGCCTTTGGCACTGGGTACCGCCGAGATGACGACTTTAGAGGTGGTGGTGACCGTTATGATGACCGCTATGAGAGGAGGGATGATCGCACGGGCCCGGACAGGTGGAGCTCACGGGATGATTACAGCCGCGGTGCAGATGACATGCGGCGCGATGACAGAGGTAAGGATCCTGTTTGGGGGCGGGGGGTGCGCAGATCCAGCAGCTGGGAAGGAAACCAAACTCTGAGAGTGAGTATGAACAGATTTCTCTCTTATGCTAGCTTATTTTGCCTCCTTGAGCAGTGGCTCACGGGGTTTGCCCTCATTTGCTGTGTTTGGTCTTGTCTTGTAGGTCCAACTCAGAGGCCAAAACTGAACCTGAAGCCCCGGAGTGCCCCCAGGGAGGAAGACACATCGACAGCCCCTGCCACCCAGTCCAGCCGTGCGGCCTCCATCTTTGGGGGTGCCAAGGCCTGGGGACACTGCTGCCGGGGAGCGTGAGGTGAAAGAGCGGCTGCAGAAGGAGCAGGAGAAGCTGCAGCGTCAGCTGGAGGATGATAAAAGGCTAGACCGGCGGCCCAGAGAGAGGTAGGGGGGAGAAGGGAACTGCTGGTCAAAGCCCTTCTGGATTTCCTGTACG